ATAGAACTTCCAGACTTCAATCAATCAATCAATCAATCAACAAGCATTTACTAAACCTTTAATATGCCAGGCAGCTATTTGGTACTGTTTAAAAAGTAGATCAAGAGAACATCAGAAACAATTGAACCAAATAGGAGAAATTATTTAAAAATTTTCAAGATTGTTTGGTTTCATTTTCTCAGTTTTTTTTTTTTCAAGAGAATCCAGGCAAGCATGATAGGGTGAGGGGGGGGGGGGAAGTCCACATTGATTATTATTTGAAAAGTACTCTACTATGTTGAAATCTGTAATTATTTGACAGGAGTTGGACTCATTTACCTTTGTACTGTCTATAAACAAGATTGGGAAGGGGTGAATGTTTAAAGCTACTGATTACAAATGATTGTTATATTGTTATTAAAATAAATCCCCTATTGCTCTATGAGACAAGCCATCCTATTTTAGTTCTAGTTACTGTTTGAACCTGGGAGTAATAAAAGGGCATTTCTTTCAAAAAGATCTCATAGCTAAGCTTTTCACTAATTAGTCCATGGAAGTAAGTGGTTGGTTTTACAATCTTTGTTCTTGCATGAAGAGGCAGTTTACCATGGTGGATAGTAACCCAACCTCAGAACCAGCAAGTTCTGAGTTTAGGTCCTACCTGGGACTCCTACTGGCTGTGACCCTGGGCAAGTCACTCACCATCGCAATGCTGTAGGCAATTCCCTGAGATGAGAAGGTACACTGATAGAGGAAGCTTCTTCATCTGGTAGTTTCCTATACCAAGTGAAATCATAGGGCTACCCCATAAGAGGGTCAGTCTTCCATAGGCTATGCCTACTTCTCCAAGAAAAAAAAACAAAACTCAGAGCTGCCACTTCCGTCTTATGTGACTTTGACCATTAACCCCCATTCTAGCTTTAAATCTCTAATCCCAGGATTCCATGGTAAACAGATCACCAGAAACTCAGAGAGTCATCAAATGACAAAGTTGAAAGTATCACAGGATTTAGAACTGGAAGGAATTTTAGGTATTTGGCCTCTTTATAGACAATCAAAGTGAGTCACAAAAAGGGGAAGTGACTTGTTCAAGGTCACACAGCTAGTAATTATCAGAGCTGGGGTCAGGACCCAGATGTGCTGATGCCCAGACTCTTAGCCTTCTATCACAAAAGCTAAATAATAGAAAATATTAATAGTTCATGTTTAATCCATCTAGCACTTTGTAGCTTTAAAAACACCTTTCTTTGAGCTAGTTAGCTACTGCATTGTTACTCATATTTAACAGATGAAGAAATTGAGGGCTCAGAGGGATTGAGTTTTGCCCACTGCTGTTCAGATAATAAGTAAAAGCAGCAGAGTAGAATCTAGGTCTTCTGATTTTGATTTCATTACTTTTTCCACTGTGTGGTGATGGAGGTGGTGGGGGGAGCATCAGGGCTTATGACCCTTAAAAGTTGGGTTCTTGCTCTCATTTCTGAAGAAAGTCTCAGACTTTACCCTTTCTAGGGTAGGGTAGTTACTGATGTTGTCAAAGACTGAGGTATTTAAATGACAAGGTACAGCTAATTAGACTAGAAATGAGGCAAGATCTGCCCCTGCTTGGCCCAGGGGTAGGAGGGAGATCCAAGAGATTGGTCTGATCTTTTCCTTTGTGGAGTTTACTCCATCCCACATCCAAATGATCTGTTCCTTAAAAGCTCAGTTATGGCCTAGGGCCAAAGAATGAAATCACTATCTTTTTTTCTGGGAAACTGCAGCTTAAGGATCCTGAGACCAAGACAGGGAAGTCCAGCTCAGGTCCACTGAGTTCAAGACACAGATGGGCCCCCACTTGGAGAATTTCCCTGTTTTCTCATCTTTGAATGGGGAGGGGGCAACTTCTCAATGAGGAGCTCCATCAAGGTAGGTAGGCCTTCCCTACAAAAACGAAACCTGTCTTTTTCTGACCTCTGTTTGCCTCTGAGCTTTATTCTATACTATTCTTTTTCCCTGGAATGTTTTTCTTCTTCTCTCCCACCCTATCAGAATCCTATCCATTGTTCAGGATCAAGATCAAATGCCATCTCTATCACTGTAGACTAGAACCAGGATGAACCTTAGAAGTAATTTCCTCCACAACATCTCTATCATCTCTCCTCTTCTCTCTACTTACATGACAATCATTCTAATCTAGGCCCCGATTGCCCCTCACCTGGATGATTGCCATTGCCATCTAATTAATTTTTCTACATCTAACTTCTCTGTTCTGCAAGCCATCCTCAACACAGTTGCAGAATTGATATTTCTAAAACATAGGTTTGACTATAACACTCCCCTGGTCAAGAAGTTTCCCTGGCTTCCTACTGCCTTGAAGATAAAATAGCAACCCCTTTGTTTGGCATCCTTTACAATCTGAATCCAACCTACCTTTCCAGGTTGATTATACAGTTCCCTCAAATACACATTACTTCCAACCAAATTGACCTAGTAGATGTCACTCAACCTCTACTAGCCTTTTATCACCCATCTCCAGGTAATCTTCACCTCCCCTACTTAGAATGCTTTCCCTCCTCAGTTCTACCTTTTGGAACCCCTAGTATCCTTCAAGACTCAGAGGTCTTTCAAAAGGTCTTTCCTGATTCCTGTAGTTCTGAGTACCCTCCACCACCTCCAACCCTGGGAAAACATTTTATATATTTTGCATATTTATACATTTATAAGCATATTAATTGTGTATTAATTACACATAATATACTAAATATATAGCAAATATATTCTATATGGCATTATATATGTGCAACATATAGATGATATATTTATTTATTTGTGAATGTGTCATATTCCTTCAAAGAAAATGTAAGCTCCCTGAGGGCAGGGACTGTGTCAATTTTTTCTTTGTATCCTCAGTGCCTGGTAACATAGTAGACACTAAAAAATGACTGTTGGGGGCAGCTAGGTGGTGCAGTGGATAGAGCACTGGCCCTGGAGTCAGGAGGACCTGAGTTCAAATCCGGTCTCAGACATTTGACACTTACTAGCTGTGTGACTGTGGGCAAATCACTTAACTCCATTGCCTAGCCCCCCCCCCAAATATATATATATCTGGGCTGCTAGGTGGCGCAGTGGATAGAGCACCATCTCTGAAGTCAGGAGGACCTGAGTTTAAATCCGGCCTCAGACCAAACACTTGACACTGACTAGCTGTATGACCCTGGGCAAGTCACTTAACCCCAATTGCCTAAAAAAAAAAATTATTGTTGAGTAATTAAACTAGTTCTCTAGAACTCATCCCCTCCCACCTCCAACTTACCCTTTCTCCTAACTTCCCCCTTTTCTGTAAAGGACACCCATCCTTTGGGTCACCCAGGTTTTCAACCTCACAGTTATCCTCTACTCTTTACTCTCTCTCACTCCCCTCCCTCTATATACAATCAGTTGTGAATTCCTGTTAATTTTACCTACACAACATCCTTCCCATCAGTGCCCTTCCCTATATTGCCCATCCTGATTCAGGCCCTCATCATCTTTCACCTGCACTATTGCAAAGGCCTCCTATTTTGTCTCTGTACACTCAACTTCTCCCCTCTCCAACCCATTCATTACACAGCTTCCAAACTGATATTCCTAAATATCATTTCTGATCACATCACTGCCCTGCTCAGAAAGCTTGAGTGCCTCCTAACTGGCTGAAGGATAAAATACAGAATCCTTTGTTAAGATTTTTCATGCTTTCCCATCTAGTTACAGCCTATCTTTCCAGACCTATTTCATATTACTCCACAGGCCCTCTACCTTCTAGATAAACTGGCTTACTTGCTGTTCTCCATACATGACATTCCATCTCCTTCTATGAACCTTTCCACAGTCTGTCTTCCATGCCTCTCTCCTTTCACCTTTTGGGATCCTTGGCTCTCTATAAGCCTCACTTGATGTGCTGGCTCCCACATAAGGCCTTTTCTGACTCCTGCCCCTTCCCCTCCCTGAAGTTTAGTGATTTCCTCCTGCAAAAACAAACTTCATATTTTACATGTCATGTCCCTTTATCAGAATATGCCCTCCTTGAGGTTAGGGACTGCTTTTTTTTTTGTGTCTGCATTCCCAGGGCCTAGTAAAATGCCTTAGCTATAGTAGTGTTTAATAAATGCTTGTTGAAGTGAATTTAATGTTTCCAACATCAGAGCTAGAAGGGATCTTATATAGCGTCAAAGGAAGAGGCCTTAATAACCTAGTTAAGTCTCCTTTTTCAGAGGAAGAAATAGAAGCTCAGATTCGGAAAATGACTTGCCCAAAGTCACACAGTGATTTAGTGGCAGAACCAGGACTGGAATCCCGGTGTCCTGAGTCTTCATTGATGGGTCATTTTACCACACCGAGTCGTGGGACCTGGAGGTATATGCTGCCTTCCTAACTCCAGGTGATGAAATCTCCCTTCTCCTCTCAATTCCTATAACACTTTTGTGTGTATGTCTCCAAGGCTTATCACATATTGCCTTATATTGTAGTGATTCATGTTTTATCTTCTCTAACTAGACTTCGAGCTTTGAGGGCTGGGATTCTACCCTATTCACCTCTTTATCACTCTCGGTGCCTAGTACAGCGCTGGGCACACAGGAGATGCTCATAATGCATATCTGTGGAATGAATGAATGAAAGAAAAGATAATATTTCTCTTGGATCGCACCGTAGGCGGCTGCCTAGGAGACTGTCATCCAGAGCCCCGGGCAGCGGGGGACATGACTGCATTGCTGGACAGGGAGAAAGGGGGAGCCTGTTTTCAGCTCTGGAAGAGGAAGCTGTCAATCGTTTGCATAGGAGCTCTCAAGGCAGCCCGGGAGGAGCGTGCTGGGAGCTAAGGGACCCCTGGGCCTGGAGCCGGGTCCCCGAGCCCCGGGCTCCGCCTCAGCTAGCCGAGCTGCCGCTGCCGCTGCTACTGCAGCCCGCGGGGCCGGAGCTCCGCCCCCTCCGTCCCTCCCCGTCCCTCCCCTGCCTCCCCTCCCCGCCCCCAGCCGGCTTGCTCGGCGCCGACTCCCCCACGCTGCCGCGGCTGGGGCTGCTAGCTGGAAGATGGCGGGGACAGACTGCGGCGCGCTGCTGGATGAAGAGCTCTCCTCCTTCTTCTTCAACTATCTCTCTGACAGTCAGGTAAGGCCGGGGGACCTCTGGGGGCTGGGGCCCCAGGGGCTGGGAGGCCGGCGCCACAGCTCCCTGGGGCTGGGGAGGAAGGGAGGGAGAAAGGGAGGAGGGGGCGCTGTGTCTGCGGCAGTGCCTGAGAGCAGCCTGAGACACAGGCGCGCCGGCGTGCGCCCCGGGAGAGCTGTCACCCGCGGCTACTGAGGACCCCCGGCCCCGGGCGTCCCCATTCGCCCCAGCGAAGCGTTCCAGCCCCTGGAAAAAAGGCTGACGGAGGAGAGCAGGGAGGTCGCAACTGCTGCAGTCACTGCCAGAAAGCCGGGCGTCAGGAAGCTTGTGCACTGCGTTCCCTGGAACCCAGTGCCAGGGACCCGGAGTGGAGGGTGGGTGGGTGGGGGGCGGCGCGCCTTGTGCCCCTCTGCAGTCCCACGGTTGAGCTGCATGTCTGGGGAGGAGGCAGAGAGCTTGGAACCTCCTGGGGAGACCCTGGCAGGCAGCAAGGAGGCAGCCAGAGGACCACTTTCAGCTCCACTTTCACGCGCTTGCCTGTTCCCTACCCGGCTTTAGCAGAAGCCTGACCGGCTCTGAAGTGGCAGCGCAGCGCCCGCTGCCCTTAGGGTACTAGGGGTGGGTGTTTCACCTTGCGGGCCCCTCCAGCACCTTCCTGCATCTCAGAGTTCCCTTAAAGTTACCAGCTCTCTGCTCCAGGCTTTGGCGCCCATTCCGCTCAGCTTTCTGCGGGACACGTGGGTGTGCGAATGAGGGAAGTCGCGCAGCTCTGGGATTTCCTTTTAAACCCCTGTTCGGGTCTGGCTGCGCAGGGAGCCTCACTAACCTATGGGGTTAGTGTGCCTGGCTTAGGAGACGCAGTGGACACGAGTGGTGGTGGGGGAGGGGGCGACGCGGCTCCTGCGGCGTGCGGCTCACGTGCTGCGTGACAGCCGGGGACCTGTCGCCTGGGGCAGCGTCCCCCAAAGTCTCGGGGTGAGCCTACTGAGGGAGTTAGCTATTAAAAACGTGCCCGGATTTGCTGCAGCCCCCGCGTGACACGAAAGAAGGTGCCGGGAGCAGGGCATACATCTGCAGCCTCTGAGTCCCCCCGGGCCCTTTTGCTATCCTCCTCCTGCCGTGGCTGCCTACGGGAAGTTTAGAGGTAGATTTAGGGAGTTTTCCCTCTGTAGCAGATGAGAGGGATCTTTGATTGCGGATGCTATCGAATCTGGTCCAGTTTGCTGGCTTTAACTCCTTCGGCCGCAGCAGCCAATTTAGAACAGGCCTCCAGCATAAAATAAGGCAGTTCTGCAGTGGTCTGTCAGTTGAATCTCCCCTCCAGCGGCCTTCAGGGCGGCTGCGCTGAGCCCGGCGACTCTCGCCTCCGCCGGCTTTAAGTCACTGCTCTCCCTACGGTGTAAAGCACGCTTTTGCATAACACTCTGGACTGGGTGTTGGAGAGGAAAGGAGGGGAAGGAAGGGGAAAGGTAAACTTTATTAGGAACTGACAGTCTGTTGGGAGCTGTTCTTATGAGGCTGAAGTCCGGTGGGTGTGTGGAAAGGAAGTACTGGAGAAAACCTGGCTGACCATTTATATGTAATGTGATAAGTAAAGATTTAAAAAAAAAAAAGATACCGTAAAGGCTTCCCGAAGTTATCAATTCTAGCCTTCCGGCATGTAACGGCTTTGCTAACAGCGTGCTGCCTTGGGGCCTCTCCCTGAAATACTGTAGACCACGGCGGGGGGAGTTGGGGGGGGACCTTAGCGTAGGAATAAGCTACTGCTGAAGTCACCGTAGTGTGGACCTTAAAAAGGCTGTAAATGACGCCTCTGGGGCCGCTGCAGACCCGGGAGGGATGCTTTGCTTGGCTGGTTCCGATCAGCTCAGCTTGCTGGGCTCTGCAGTCCGCTCTGCGGGCTGTGGCTGGCCTGCATGCGCAGGCATATCCTCCCCCTTCCTCACCCTCCTATCGTAGAAGGGTTAATATCTGATGCAAGGAGGTCCAGCGGCATGTGACCTGTGCTTTCGTTTGAGAAACGGTGGTCTGTGGTGGGTGTGTGTTTGTGCCTGGGTATGTGTGCAGGTGTATGACGCGCGCCTATGTGCTCGCCTGCCGGCCTGTCTGTGTGGGTATGTATGTCACTGTGTGTGCGCGCGCTCGTGAGAGTTGCGCAGGCTGTGCAGGCTTCTGCTGTGTGCTACCTTTACCTCTGACGAAACTGCAGCGAAGACACGGGTCTGCCGCCGCCGCCGCCGCCGCTGTCACATGCTTTGCTGTTGTAGCTGTAGTCTGGAGGCGGGTTCCAAGGACCGCCCTGGACTTCACTGTAAGAGATTACTGTGTCCCGTGGCTTACTGGGGAGTCACGGAGCTTTCCATGAAGCATTATTAGCACAGTTTCCAGACCCAGTTCGCCAATTAAGGAGGTAAAAGTCATAGGACATTACATGTAGAACCCGGAGTAACAGCTCGAAAGCGGCCTTACATACCATATAGTCCAACCTTCTGTTACGGGGAGGACACTGCCTAGCACAGGTGCACATAGTAGGCTCTTAATAAATGTTTGTGGAATTGACTTGATTTGAAAGAAGCAGAAATTTACACAAGATTAACTGGCGAGGTTAGTGAAAGAACCGAGGAATGGCACTGGTTCTTTTCACTCTCCAGCCAGTGACAAAAGGTGAGGGAGACAGTCTTCATAGAAATCTTGAAGGGCTTTATAGTTTAATTATTTACTTAGTTATTCCTTATCTGTTTTATCAATTCTGCAAAAGATTCTTAACCCTTGGGGGGAAATGTAAAAAGATAAAAAGTGGCTGAAAAGGATTAGTGAAAGTTAACCCGGGCATTTATTCATCTTTCTCACTCCACTTGGTAATACAGTAAGTGTGTAGTGATCTCTACTGGTATAATCAGGGAAACTGCATTGTAAATATCACAGCCTTGATGTAAATGAAAAATGGTTGGTTCATAGACTGAGCTACATTCTCAGAGACCTGAGAACGTAGAATGTCAGAAACAAAATGGATTTTAGAACTTAAAACGTGGAGATTTACTGCAGGTAGGGACAGTGGAAGGTAGAACACAGAATGTTAGAGATGGAAAGGACTTTGAAACATAGAATGTCAGGGTTGGGAAGGACCTTAGAATTTCAAACAGTGTGATTGCTGGAAGGGACCTAAAGTTACCATCTAGTCCAATCCCTTCATTTTATGAATGGGGAAACCTGAGGCCCAGAGAGATGAAATATTTTGCCCAAGATCATCTAATGAGTGGATGGCAGAGAAGGCACTTGTACTCAGGCCTCTTAACTCCCATTTTCATGCATTTTTCTCCTATATTTCATTTCTTGCCCAGTCTCTTGCTTCAAAGCATGATCTGCACAGTTGAATTGATTCTTTTTCTTCCTTTCTTGCCATCCAGGATTTTCATTGACAGAGTCTCATGACTGATGATATTTCTTTTATTTAAAAAAGGGTTTTCTGCTCTATATGGTTTTAAGCAGTGATAAAGTCAGTGGCTGTATACTGTATAGATAGTGCTTCCCAAGTGTCCCTGGCAAAGGGACAACTGGTCTCTCTCTCTCTCTCTCTCTCTCTCTCTCTCACTTTTACTTTCCCCAGAAGAGAAAGGACATTATTGCTATTGTTTGTAGATAAAAACAAGATCAAAGATCCTTCTAACTACAATTTCTTATGTTTAATTAATCAACATCTTTAACTCAGTTATCATTAAGGGCACTTGAATGGATGCCATTTATCAATTAACGGATGAAAAAAAAAAGAAAGAAAGCAAGAAATGACTTACCAAAGGTCATAAGGAGAGTTAATGGCTGAATCTGGACTGAAATCCAGGTCTTGTGACTCTGGGATTTCTTTCCCTATATGAAACTATCCCTCAGACATAGGAGAAAGACATCATTTTGCCTCAGAGCCATCTAAGTTTTCCTCTCATTGGTCATTCCTCTTCACCTCCATCCCTTCCCTCCATCTCCCATCTGTCTGGCTCACACCTTCCCTGGGGGATGTGGATGAGAAGGTAATTCAGTCTCTGGGTTTAAAAGGCTTTTCTTGTGGCTAAGCCTGGGTTACTGCAGGCTGTCTCTCTTGTTCAGGAGACTCTTAAGTGCTTCAGAGACTTAACCTGAAGCAGACAGACATTGGACCGTCAAAGGGTTTTAAAATTTCCCTGGAAAGGGTTGGTATCTGTTATGAATTCATTGTCCCTGAAAAAATTTGAGCTTATTTTCATTTGCTTAGACTGTTTCCCTTGCCCACTATTTTCTAAAGCCTAACCATTCCTTTTTTTTATTTAAAATTTTTTTTATCATAAAATTAACATTCATTCATGAATATGAACATTTTGTTATACAGAGAATAAAGAGGATTATCTCTAAAACTCATGAACTTAAGTAGAATTTGTTGTTTAAAGGGCATATTAGACAATTTAACATGAAGTTTATGCATTTGTCAGTGCCCAGCTGAAATCCGACCTCCTCCAGGAAGCTCAGCTTGATTACTCCAGCCCTATTTCACTTCTGGTTGTCTAGTAACATGAAAATAGCACTAGATTTGAAAAGACCTAGACCAGTTCTGCTACCTTGCTACTTGGGCAAGTTAGTTTCTCTAGGCCTCAATTTCTGCCTGTGTAAACAATGAGGGGTGGGGTGGTCAATAGATGATCTATGTTTTCTTTCAGCTCTAAATCCTATGAATCTATCCTACTAGGTTGTCTTTCATTACAAGGTACAGGGCTGGTTTCACAGCAGGTACTCAAAAAACTTTGGTGGTTTGATTTATTATGTACTTGAAGCAGAGTTGGCTACTAGGTAATGGACAACTTGGCACTCTTTCTAGTTTATGGCCTATGACTTGAGAACCCAGGCAGACCAGCAGTAACATGGTGGCCACTGGGCCTTTGTTTTCCTCTCTATAAAATGGGGAATGGGGACTGGACTCAGAAGATACCTTCCAGTTTCCTGAATCTTATAAATCAGTCCCTGTTCTGCAGACCCATAAC